AGAGGAATACCTTCCTCTTCCAACTCAGAATGTTCAGACTTAAAGGTAAGGTAAACTTTTCTCACAGCTTTTAGTTTGCTTACCATCAGCCCATGTTCCACTGGGTGATTAAAGAAAGCTTTTTTAAAGCATTACTTCAGAATGATCTTAATTGGTGCAAGGTTGAGCCCTTTCTAGGAGGGGAGGGAAAAGGTTGAATAGCCTTTTCAAGTCACATGAAAGTTTCTAGGATGAATGTACGATAATTAGATTAATAAGTAGCTTAATTTATCACAGCTAAGGATTTCAACAGCCACACATTAGAGCAAGAAAAAAAAGATTAGTGTGATTCCAGTTTGTAAAAAATTGTACTGAAACTTGATTAACCTTAAATACAAAGTGCCTTTCTTTTTGTGTGTAAATTCAGTAGTTAAGGGGAAAAAAACCACTAAAATAATCAGAAAAGTCCTGTTCCGTTCCTTTGTGTTCGCTAGCTAATGAGCGATATCGGGGTTGTACAAAACAACTTTTCCCTGCGAGGTTATTCTTCCTAGAACATGGATTTAAATAAAATCTGCAATCCCTGCCACTGTTGTGGACCCTGACGATCTGTGTGAGGCGCGAGATAACATATGCAGGGGTTAATAATATCTCTAGCATCAGCCATTTTCATTTTAAAATAAGAGAAAAAGAAGCAGCAAGAAAATAGGTGAAATATATATTCTAGCATAATGTAAAGTTATGTTCACCTTAGTCCTGGTAATTAAAGAGGAATGAACAGGAGCCTGTGTGCCAGGGAGAAGTATGGAAAACAACTGTAGCCAAAGCTAATGGCGAGTATGCAATTCTGGATGACATTTAGCCATGCAATATTCACTCGCACTGAGTACTATGTCTACGACACGGCATCATTTCGACAGCGCTCTCCATTGATAGCATCAGCCTAAAATCAAACGTGGCAAATGCAGAAGCAGAGCAGCAGCTCGGTGCAAAAAATCTCGCTTACTGATGGGAGATTCGTGTAAAATATTGCCAGACCATCCAGCTTTCCCCTCACCACCGTCTCTGCTTCCTCACAGGACAATCCCTTAATAGAGAGTGAAATCTGCTGTGCTTTTTGATGTTGCCATCCACCACCGAGGTTGCTTTCGGTGGTGTCATTATTTATCAGCGCTAACGTCAGATTTCATTAATCTAACTCCTTAACACTTGTATCACAGCAGACAAAAATTCCCAGTGCTTTTTATTAAGGCGGCTGGCACCAGGGCTAGGAAAGCCCTCCGAAAGGTCTGGAAGACGGTGGTATGGTTCCTGTCAACGCTCAACAGCCATCGTCATTTTGAGGAGGCCTAATGCAAACCCAGCAGTAGCGAGATGCGAGATGCAGCATTTGTGACTCCCTGTCCTGAATCCCTCTTTGAAAGGGGATGACAAGGGAGAAGGTTTGTTCATATTCATAGGAAACCACAAGCAAAACTACTCAGAGCCTTGAAAAAAACATTTTTTAAATTAAAAAAAAAAAAAAAAAAAAAACACAAACCACATAATGAAATAAGAGAGAGGGATGGTTTCTTTAATTTTATCTCACACTTAAGAGATGACTAAGAGCTCTAATGAAAGAGAGTGTAATTATAGCCCAGATAGTGCATATTGCACACGCCGTAACGTCGGAAAGGTTAACTCTGGCAAAGAGAGATCATACAAATCAAAGTGGCTGAGGGCACTCATGCATCGGCCTGTTTGATAAGATTGATAACTGTAACCGGTAGCTTAGGAGAATCGATTTCCACTGCTGGGGATCTCTCTGGATTCTCTCATCTTTTCTTCTGTTTATATGAAAGTGAAGCTTTAAAGATGTTTTATCATCTAATGGCGAATATGACACACAGTTACAAACGGAATCTTTTTTTAATCTCAGAATGGAAAATTTAAGCGGGGCAGTGATTCGCTTTAATTATGTATATTGAACAAATTTGAAGAGATGAGAAGAAACTTGTTTTTCAGCCCACTGAACCCAAGTGCCTGCCTGTAATCTAAAATGGATATCTAATTATTGTTTAACATTATTTATTTAGGAGGAGTTACGACCTCTAATTTGCCTTTAAATGATTAATTTAGTGTTTAAATAAAGCTCCTTTTATTTAATAATGTTTTCTTTAACCAATCTTCAGTAATGTCAATAAACTCTTTGTTTAACCTTCTTAAAGGAAACATTTTCTCAGCTCTGAGACAATTATGAATTACCAAAACCCGTATAGAAAAATGAGCTAAGTAATTATCTAATATTATTGCAGTGTGCTTAAGAAGAGAATATTCCACACCAATAACATAAGGCGGGAGAGAAGAAACAAGATTTTCTAAATATTGAGCATTTTAAGCAGTCTGCCTCTTTTTGAGGTGATAAGGTAACATGGAAATACCCCAAAATACTAATAGCTTGGCTAAATAAACTCTTCCACTTCTATTAGCATCCTTAAGTGGTACTTGGTTCAGGTCCCAGGCACAAACCGAGCAGCACAAATATCCTCACTCCGTATGCTAGAGAGGTGGTCAGATGAAATGCTGGTGCCCTTGTCCTGTCCCCAGCCTTCAGCAGGGCACCCCCACCCATGGCCAGGGTGACTTTGCACCACCACGGTGCTCCCTCGATGTCCAGGACCAGGGAGGAAGAGCTCAAACACGGGGCAAGGGAGCACCAGTCGCTGCTCCAAAACTCCGCTCCAGACCTTTGGCTATTTTCTGAAGCTGACTCACATATAGATATAATGGCACGTATATATCACATTAGAGTATATACTGGCCACCAATTTTAAAAGCGAGAGCCTTTGGGGAGTCCAAGTGTGATTGTTATGTGTTAACTATTAAGCATCATTTCTACATAATCAATTATGTGTGAGATAATGCATATGCTTTCTTCATCTTGCTTAGATCCTCCATACTTTTCTCTGAATTACAGCGGAGCTGGGAAGATCACAAGAAAAAATAGGCAGCACAAAGCCAAATTGGTGTCCAAGAGGCCAGAAAGTGTCAGGAGGAGAAAGAGGAGAGGCAGAGCTTCCAGCAGGAGCCAGATGAAACAGAAAATCCAAGAGTGGAAGAAAGTGGTGAGAAGAAGCAAGGAGAGAGACCTTAGAGGCTTCAAAAAAACCCCAGGGACAGAGGTTCAGAGGATCACAGAAGTGTTGAGGTTGTCAGGGTCATCCAAGAGCAGCTCAGTCAGGGTCAGGTACTGTGTCCAGCCTGGTTTTGAGTAGCCCCACAGATGCAGACTCCACAGCCTATCTGGGCAGCCTGAGCAGGGGTCAACCACCTTCACGGCAAAACCAGGTTTTCTTATGTTCAGAATGAGTTCCCTGTGCTCATTCATGAAATGAGGTCCCAGTCTTGGGTTTGTCTTATTACTGACCCAAAAGTTCACTGTGGGCACCAAGGGATGTCCCCCACAAGTGAACATGAGGTAGGTTCATTGTTATAGTGGGAGCAAAGCCTGAAGCTGCTCAGTAGTGGTGGGAGAACACTGGGATGGAAATGTCTGTCTCCTGAAACTATGGTCTGGAGAACTGTCCTAAGTGGGAAAAGAAAGGATGGATAGATGGGCTGCAAACTGGGAAAGGGAAAAAATTGCAGCAAGCTCTCAGAAGAGAACAACAAATATTAAGAGAAGGTGTGAGTCCCAGCCAAGCATTAGTAGTGGAGCTAAAGGAGAGACTAAGAAATATATGGCCTTCCCTTAACCACACCACTTTCTGTCTGCAGCTCAAGTGATGGGGATCTAAACAAGATCTGTAATAATTTCTAACTTGGGAAATGTGCTGCCTTTATTATGGGCAGAGTTGAAAGGGTCCTTATGTTCAAAGCTGTACTCTTGTACAGCAAAAGCAGCAGCAGAGCATGGGGGGTTTCTGTGCAATTCTTCCTTCCAGGTCTTGTTGAAGATCCCAGGCAGAACAGGATGAGAAATTGTCCAGATTTGAATGAAGAGGCTGAGCAACAATGAAGGGCAGCATGAAAACCACAGCATTGCAGATATATAGGGAAAAAGGAAAAGAAGGAAAATGGGTGTGTAATAAACACTGATAGGAGCTCTTGGGAGTAAGAAAGAAGGAGACTAGGGAGGGAGGCTGGTGATCAAAAGGCTGTATCTAAATGGAATCATGAACATGGAGGGGGAATTAAGGACATGTTTTACTGTGCAATCCTTACTTTAGAGCTCTTGCAAAGTGTGGTGGGCCAGTTTGAGGAGGCCCCAGGGGCCAGACCATGGATCAGAGCTGGTAACATGTTGCACAGAGATGTGTGCTGGCACTAATCTGGGATGCAGGAGGAGCAGAGCTATTTCGGTGTGGCTCCAAGCTCAGCTAGTAATAGGTGCCTTTCATAATGTCTGGCTCTTTCTCTGCTTTTTGGGATGGTGGGAGCCTGGGAGTGGTGCAGTGGGACTGGCACACCCAGCCAAGAGTGGAGCTCCCTGCCTGCCAGAGACTGAGGGGTCACCCAGGGGAATCAGTAATGCTGCTCCCCAGCACCCAAAAACACTCAGCGGGTCCCTGCTCTGCTCTCAGTTTCTGCCTTCCCTGACACAGAGGATTCCCCTTTAGGCTTCCTTCTTTAAAAAAAAAAAAAAAAAAAAAAAACACACAAAAAAAAACCAAAACAAAACAAAAAACTGTCAAAGAGCTTTTGACTATTTACTTTCTGAAGTTTTGACATTATAGTTTCAATTTTTTTTTCCCAGCCATATGAGCTAAAACCTAATCCAAGTTATAGATGTCTAGAACAAGTGAAATCTCTAATCCCTGATCCTTAATTCTTCACAGTCCATATCTAGGATGACACACTGGGATGGCCAATTTGCAACCAATTTGGTAGGAGGAATATCCATGTCCAGCTTATTCCTCCTTTCCCACCTTGTCCTGATACTTGTCATATGCTATCCCCTGAAAACTGAGGATCTCAGGCCACACAATAACAGAGTCCAGCTGATGCCATCAATACAACCAGGAGTCTCTTTTAACACTCACCTGCAATCTGACCTCTGTGTAAGTGATGATTTGGGGCCACAAAATTGTCAAGGAGGACCTGGGACACCCCCAAATTCCTTCCAAAGTGCGCAGAGTTGGGATGAGCTGCTGCCATGACATCTCCCTTGATGCTGGACCAGCACATGTGGAGTGAAGAAGATTTGAATCCCGCCTTCAGCTTTGCCTCTGGTTCTCCGTGGGGACTTCTATTCCCAGGGAACGCAGCTGCACCCACCAGTCCAGATGTTCAAAGAGGGACAAGACGCCCCTGTGTGAGAGGTGAACGAAAGGACGGTGAGCAACTACATGTCTTCAAATCTTCCGACTACAACTCACCATGAACTGTTGCCCTCTGACATGTGATAGGAAGCAAAGTGTAATCTCTGCTGGGCTACAGGTAAATGGGCAGATGTGTTTGCCCTCAGGCAGCCTGAGGACACACCATCCCCTTCTGAGCACAGTGCGTTAAAGAGGGACCTTCTTTTCCATAGCTGTTTACCTTCAGGCTGCTAACTCCATGAACGGCCAGCTGCTCATTAAGGGTCAAGAAGTGCCTGGTTAAAAGGTCCTGCCCCACCTTCGATGCAGCATGGACAAGTCCCTCCGGACTTGTTTGGCAGTGCAACAACATACATAGTTGACCCACAATACCCACTGGAGTCCTCCTAATGTTGGAAGATGACACGGCTTGCACCAGCAAACATGGGAGGAATTTTCCCAAGAAACACCCAAAAACCTCTGCTGTGATATACAGGAGACAAGTCCTCTCTGTCAGCTTATGTGCAATCCTCAAATAACTATAGGACACATTCAACCATTTTTATTATTATTTAAAAACCATAGTATTGTGACTTTTTTTTTTTTTTTGAATCACAGACAGGTAAGAATAAAGTGAAGGATTTCTTGCATCCACCACTTATTTAGGCAGGACTTACATTGCACTCTCAGCTGCTAGAGAGCCTTACTAACATAAAATAAGTAAAAATTTACAAATCTAATTAAAATAAAAACTGCTGGCTAACAAAGAATTTATTTTGCTTTTTCACTTCTGCTTGCTTTTAATCAGCCCTGCAAAATTCCCCCTGCCTGCATGGACACGAATAGGTAATACTGTTTGATGAATGAATAAAATATCAGGTAGGAAGTGTCTTATTTGTCTGTGTCTTCATTATCTCCTTCCCCATCCTGCTGAGTTAGTACATGGACTGTGTGTCTGGACCAGTGTGTTCTTCTTTACTGGTCATTCACTGTTTGGTTTGTACTAGCAGCTACCAACTGGGAGCCCTGGACATAGGTTAAGATTGAAGGTGTTTGACACTGTACAAATAACAAATAAAAAGATAATCCTTTCAGAATAAGTTCAGACTGTTACCAGATTTTGTTTTTCCCTGAACAGCTTTCCTTGATAGAGCCTTCACACAAATTTTAAACATGAAGGAGGGAATAGTTAGGATGATAAATCATCATTTCTCTCTTTTCACCTTTTGTAATTATTTAAAATGACAACATTATGGATTTTTCTCTGGGGCTGCAAACTCATTTAGATTATGTTTGTCAACTTTTACAGTGAAGTGCAGAATTTGGAGCTGTTCTGTGGAGGGGGAAAAAAGTCAATTCCAGCCACAGGAGAGGAAAAGTTGATAGAAAATTTCAAAATAGAAGGCTTTTTGGAAAGACATGCAAAATCCCTTAAGAGTTGTAACCACCCTCACTGGAAGATGTGTGCAAGAATCCTTTCTTTCAATTCCCCATTTATTCTCTCCTTTTCTAATGAAGGCAGGTAATCTCAGATTATTTACTGGCATCACATTTCCAACTCGCAAGGAATGCCTCAAAGCCAGAAAAGAATATTCTCCGTCAGCCTGTTTTTGTTTTGTTCTCATGTTTATTTTCATCTTAACATTAATTGTCCCATAATGGCTGCTTGGTTTTATCAATTAGCCTTTGCAGTGGGAAAATATTTTAGCGCCTAATATAGCATAATGATTTTTTTCCCTATTTGCCAAGGGGGTTATTAATAAATGTCCCCACTGGGGTTACAACTCTGGTGCTCTGGTGTTTGCTTTAGGGGAATTGAGGGATTGGAGGAAAATCCTAACCAAACGGAGCTATAATTAGAGTGAAAGCAGCTGCAATTAGAAGTATATGTTCAACGACACCCATGGCACCCGGGGACAAACCTCCCCTCGATTCGGGCAGGGGTGGCAGCAGAAACTCTGCCACTGCAGAAAGAGGAAAGCTCTCAGTTTTCCTGCCTTTCCAGGTGTTGCATCGAAGATTTGCACCGTCTGCTCAGCAGCTTTCTCCGAGGAGGAAGGTTTTTTTCGGTGGAGGTGTGCTGGCCCAGCAAAGCCAACAGCCGACTCCTCCGAGCTGGGATTTCACCCTGATCTCTCACTCCTCACTATTTATTTAGCCTGAACCGCTGCCACCAGCGCTGCTGGGCTCTCTGGTTAGCTGCCAGCCGAGCAGGCCCTTCGAATGACACATCTCGGTGCACATCAGACATCCACGCTATTTCCCACAGAGTCCTCTCCTGTGGCTGCAGGTACTCCAAGGTTGGACGGCAAAGCCTGGCAGACCTTGTTCTCCTCCCTGCTGCCACAACAGACTTTGTTCATGGAGGAAAAACCAGACGCCGTCCCTTTGGCTTTTCTGTCTGTTACAAATCTAAATTCTCCATCACTGGGAAATGAAGCAGCTAATAGGCTGTCCTAGCAAAATTCCATCCTGTCATCAGATACGGGTTTCTGGAAAGGCAAACTGGAAGGAGTTCTGCAGCCTGTCGAGAATTCAGGCTGAGTTAAAATATCAGTGCTTGATTTTATCAATTAGCCGAACAACAAGTCTAACAATAAACACTCTCATACAGCAAGGACACATACGGAATTAAAAAATGCAGCAGATGTGTAATACTGCTTAATATGGCTTTTAGCTTAATTCATCTTATTGCAGAAATCTGTAATTCACGTGGTTTGCTTTCTGAACAACAGCTACTCATGTAACCTTTTGTCTTTCCCTGGGCTTTTTGTTTTGACCAAAAAAACCACCCCAAACAATTACTATTATAGAACTATTAGCTCTGATGATTTACAGCTTTGTTTCTTTCACAGCAGAGATCAAAAGTAATATAATTTACTTTGGGAAAACCTGACCATGTCCTTGCAAGTCTATAGGGCTTCTCATACTGGGGTCCCATATAGACACCCCGTATATCTCTTTGTAGGAAACAGGTTATTGCTAGCATAAACTGGCTGGTTTTGTTTGAGCGACACTTCCCATGCTACCAACCCACAGAAAGTGGATAGAAAGCAGCAGCTAAAAGGCAAGGTTGTACCATATACCACCTATGTGTGATACAGGTGGTCCATCATAATCCTGGATGCATAAAATAACAGATTTCCCTAAACACCTGAAAAGATGCGACCTCATTCCTGTAGATTTGTGAGCACCAGAAAAGCCACCTAAATGAGGATGGGGCTTGTTGCCTGATTTCTCTGCTCCTTCTCCAGAACAGCACCTCCTCCAGATCCTGGATCTCTGTGTTTTGACCAGAAGCAGTGATCTGGTGGACCTCAAGACCACTGGTTTTCCAATGTAAATTAAGAGAGGTTAAAGGTAACCAAATAAAGAATCCACGGATTATTTGTATTGCAAAACAACCTGCAAACTGTTCAAAACAACCACTGCAGCACCACAAGAGACAGCCCTGCCCTGCTGAATGTCCACTTTGAACACGCAGTCCATAGGACTGTGTGGGAGAAGCAGGGATCCACCACCAGCGTTTCTGAAGCAAGGAGCACTGTCCCTGGAAGGCACATGTATTTTATACCCTACTTCTACTTCTAGCAGAGCATCCAGGAGCTGTACAGAGGAGTTGAGAACTGAACCTGCAGGATAACAACCCAGCACCTTTTGCTATAAACCAAATATTTCAGTCCTGAGAAAAAACAAGATGATGTTTCCACTGACTTCAGGAGGACCCAGGCTCAGCTGGTGTCTGCTCTGATTCCTGATCTGGCATTTATCACAACTAAATATTTCTGCAAACCCAGAATCTTTCTGAATTGCCATCAAAGCACCAATTCTAGCAACACTGGACCATTTGATTTATTTTATTTATTTCTTACCTTTTGAGGGGGGGGGGGGGGCAATTAAGTCTCTCTTCATGTATATCTTTACTCACACACACACTATTTGTACACTAAATATGTGTATTATAGACCTTTAATACTCAAAGAAGCTTATAACTGATTTTAAATGTTGTTGTAAAGGGATATGCATTATAGCAGGGATGTGTATATTAGTAGACCTAGGGGTATACATACACACACCATAAACATAGGAGACCCTCTGTAGCTAACCATAGAGCTCTGCACTGTACCCTTTCCCCACTGTGCTTAAGGGTCTAAAATGAACACTGAGCTTTTAAAGCTACTTTTGTTACCTCACCACCACCAGAAGCAGCACAACCTTGTGCAGCCACTTTGACACAGACGTTAATTTTCACTTGCAGCTGTGGCAATTAGAAAGTGTACTTAATAGAGTGTCATGTTAATTGTTGCAGAGTTAACCAATTTCTCCATTTAATTGTCAATTGATTAACCTATTGAAATGGTAAGTGACTCAGTTTCCTTCCAGAACAAACAGCAGCCACATATTGTAGCTTCATCCAGCTGGAGGGGGTACTCTGTGATTTGCTCAGCCTCAATGTGCTGGTATTTTTCTACACCTCCCTGAGCTTTTAATTAGATGAGCCAATTTTGCATGTATTTGTCTGCTGGAAAGGTTATCTGTGCCGGAGCTGACCTGCAGAGACAAGGTTGAGCCTAACGGTCTTAATAGAAGAGGTTTTCAGCTATGACTGCTGTACTTGATTGCATTGTAATGGTAATTAACTTGAGACTTTGCTTCCCTCAATGTTTTTTTCTAGCTTTAACTATGCAATGAGATGTTTCCTCTGTCATATATATGCACTTATTAAGCTCTCATTGGATTCTAATATGCATGCAAATAGTCAAGAGTTTCTTAAGGCTAATACTACACTATGTAGATTGTAGTGCCATTAAGTCACTACAAAGATGTAGCCTGCAGCAAGCTTATAAGTTATTTTTTTTCTTTTTCTGTGAGTATATGTGAGGGTTTGATTTTTCCATCTTTGTGCTTTTTTTCAACCTAAAGGAGAAAGAATTCCCTCTACATACTTTTGCTCCTTTTTATCTGAAGGATTCTGTGTGCGAGAGCCCATTTGGACAGCTTTTCCTTCCC